TTGGAAGCTTCAAAACTTTGGTCGTTTGGCCACATTCTAGCTATTTTTTTGGCCAACCTCGTGTTCCGACTAGCCTTCCAAGGGTACAAATCTCTCCTCTATATTCCTAACTTCAAAATGGCTTTCTAATCACTGTGTTTGGTTAACTAGCGAGTTAGAAATCAACTCTGAAAGTTGGGAAGAAATTCCTAAATTTCTAGAAACTTGGACCCGTGACCATGTGGCCACTTCAGACCATTTTTCCAGTGAGCTCTATACATGACATGACCCCAAATGAGTATAGATCTATTCCTTCCATTCCTAACTTTATTTAGGATTTTGAATCACGGATTTTGGTTGAAAATTGAGTTCGAAATGAGCTCTGGAAGTTTGCTCTTCAGTCTGCAAAAACTGCAGATTTCGTGTGATGTCGGCGCGTGGGCATGTGATTGCCTGCGCAATAGTGCTGGGAGGAACCCAAGGACCCTTCTTAGGTTCCTTGTTGTGCCAGACCCGAATCCACCCTCCGTTTTTCGAAATTCGATCGTTTTAAAATAGTTCATTTATTAGCCCTACTTTGTACGAAAATGCATATTTATGTTAGTACGTTGTGTATTTACATAAATGGTTTCGTTTCTAGGCGAAATGCAACACAAAGACTTTGGATGGTACGAGGCAGGTTTGACTCGACGACATGATATGTGAGTGGGCAGTTTATTTTATATATATATATGGCTTATTGTTTCCACAAATGCATTGAAATGATTTACGCCTATTATGCCAAAATTTTAATTGAGTTTGGCAAATATTACCTTGTGATTAGAATTATAAAATTGCTATGGAATGTTCATATGCATATTTACCTGCTTATAAATATAGTACTGTGGTAGAATACTAAAATGATTCTACAGGACGTGCAAGTAAATTTAGGTGAGTTTAGTATATTGATTTGAATTGTATGGCATACATATATTCATATAATTAGTTCATCATTACTACACCCAGGTATTAGGGCTCCCGCCCGGGGCTAGGGCCAGCCTTCACGTGTATGTTCACCTCCCACACTGCATGCTCATCTTGGATCCAAGTAGGTCCTAGCCTGTCGTACATGTCTCGTTAGGTGACTCCAACTTGTAGGTGACTGCGCCTAGCGCAAGCTTCACGTGATCGTAGCACTAGAGCATATATTATTATTACACCTAGCCTATCATACAGGTTACATTAGGTGACTCCGACTTGTGTGATAATATAGATTGATGCCATAGATGCAGTTGTACAGGTCACATTAAGTGACTCCGACTTGCATGCTAGTATATTGTCAAGCACATGCCTATATTTCCATTATTGTTGAATTATTCCTGATGTGGCATATTTTTGATAAACATTGTTGGCATACATTAAATCTTCATACTTATACGTAATATGATTTTAAGGAAACTATACTTGTTTTACGGCCAGGGGTTAGTATATTCGAAAATAAAGGTTTTCTTACAAACGTTGTTTTGCTGACCCACTCAAATTTGTTTTTCGCCCCTCCAGGTTTAGTAGCTGTGCTTACTTGTAAACGAGGATTCTGGAAAATCTCAGGAGATGGTTATCTTCAGTGGTATAACCCTCATCCTATTTACTTTACTATCTTATGCTCTGACATCACGTGTTAATGGGGTTCAATCCCGCTCACCCACCCACTCTTTAGTTTAGGCACTTTTAGGTTTAAATTTATTCACTATCTTTTCCGACGTCACTACACTTTATGGCTTCGTCACCCTCCAGGTGACGGCCAACACAACCTGATTCGGAGTCCAAGTGGACATTTCAGGTCGAGGTGTGTCAAACCACATAAAATATTATTATCTCAATACAAATAAGCAATTGCTGTAACCAAATTCGCTAACCACCGCAGGTGGTATAGGTGCATAAATCCTAGTAACCTGTAAAAGAGTAGACAACCATGCACAAGCCAAAGACCGGCGAGGGAGATGTACCGGCCAAAGACTCTTCGACGGTCAAGCTACGTAAGTTACAACTCAAGCATGGGCAAGCGAGTAGAGTGCAATAATTGTGTTACCAAAGATGAACCCTAGAAGGGTGTATTTATACCAGTCGGGAGAGAAATTTTTTTTATGATAAATCCTGTATTAAACCGGAGACCCCATTGGATATCTAGGAGTAGATATTGCATCCTCTTGGGAGTGATTACTTACGGCACAAGTGATGCGAAATATATAAGCACACAAATTAAACCCTCTTTTTATCAATTGTAGTAAAGTAGGTAAGTAGGGATCGTTCTAAGCCGGGGATTAGGAGGGATTGCTAAATCACTTGGAAACTGACTTGAAAACGTAAAAACAAAGTTTAAAACACTAACTAGACTCAAAGAATGCAAAACTATACTTTAAAACACTAAAACAAACCAAAAGACTCAAAACAGCCCCTAAACACTCAAAACTACCTTAAACACACAATCTGGGCAGTTTTGGGACTCAAACACAAACTTGGATGAATTTTGGTTTTCTAATGAACTAAAACACTTAAAAACATAATCTAAGACAAGTTCTAATTAATATGACTCAAAGAAATAAGATGGGGTTGATTTTGGACGAAAAATAATTAAATTAAGACAAGAACAAAGTAAACAAATTCTTAGACAAATTTAAGTGAATCAAAACAGATTGTAAAATGAATTTGAATGAAACTTATGGATGGAAGGCTAGTTAGGAGGTTCTTCTCCACACATGTCACACTTGCATACAAAACGATTTCCAGTTGCTTTTCGATAAGCTATATGAATACTCAACGCCCCAAATTAACCGTGAATTGCACTAATTAACCCTTAGTTTTTCCACAAGTTATTGGATTGGATGATTGCATACGACAACCCAAAACATTCCCTACAAGTTCCCTACATGAATTGCATAATAGAGATACAAGCACGAATCATTAAGTTCTATGAAAAACATAAGCATTGACGAGGCACTCGTTACTATGATTTGCATGAAACTTATGCCAAGAATTTACTTAACGTGATTGTGACTAGCAACCTTCACTACTTGTGAATATAAGTTCATAACGATTAGGTGAAACTCCCTTATATTCTAGCGTTAAATTCATGCATGAAAATTAAGCGTGCACTCTCAACCAACATACACAAATCATTTTTTATACGATCGGATAAGTAAATTGAATTCACAACTTATGAATCACAACCGGATGTAATCAAATCATATTGCAAGTATGAACATGGTTTCGAATCACCCCCTAACTAAGAGGGGTTTAGTTCCTCATACTCACAAAGCAAAGATACATAAAATTAGACATTAAAATCAAAGGAAAGAAAACACCTAAAATGCTCCAACTTGGGTAGCAAGTGCATCCAAGAATTCTCCTTTGCTTGCTTGCGGCAGATTGCTTTGTGGACGGATTTTTGTGTAGTTTTATGATGTAGAATGGATGGGGAATGGTATGGAAAGGTTTAGGGTAAGTGTGGAGGAGTGTTTGAGGGTTGGAGGGTGGTGGAGAACTAGGCAAAGAGGGTGGAAGAAGGTGGAGTGGCTGTTATGTTTTCTAGGCACTAGAATGGTGTTTTTGGGTGTTTTTTGCTACCTAGGGTGAGTATGGACGAATTTCTGTGATGAATGGTGAATATGAGAGTGTGAACCCTTTGCCAAGGGGTGTAAACATGTATATATAGGCCCCAAAAACCTTAGAGAATCAGGTTAGGCTAGGGAGAATGCACGGCAAAGAGTGTATGTGGTGTGCAATGGTCCAAGGGTGAAAATGAAGTGATGATGCAAAGTGTGAAGGGTAAAATGGAGTGGTCTTGTAGCTAGGGGGCATGAATGATTGTGTACATTGCATAGAGATGGAAAGGGAGGTGAAAATGTGTCAATAAATGGGTCAAAGGTGCAGCAACATGTGGTACACAAGGCATGGGATTCCAAATGTGAATGATGGAGCATCAATTGGTGCATGTTATGGTTGTGAAAGTTGTATAAAAATTTTGTGGGTGAAGGGAACAAGAGGTATCAAGCAATTAAGTGTAATAATTAAATGAATTGAAGCATGAAATCAGAAATTATGTAGGGGACAAGAGTGATCAAGCATGGCATGGGAATCCAAAGGGAATTCTATGTTGTTTTGCATGGCAATGAAGGCAAGTTGGGGTGACAAATTTTTGGGCTGAGTTCTTCATCTTTTGGACCATAATTCTTCACATTCTTGGCCTCTTTAGTTCTCAAATTCGTCCATCCACTTTGGCCCAAATATGTGACATGCATTCCAAGCTCCATTTTGCTCCAAAATGCTCCAAAATGCATCTTCTTGCCTACTTTGTCCATAAAATCTGAAAACACACGAAAATGACTTTAAACATTAAAATAACTAAGGAAACACGACATAAATGCACAAGAACAAGCCAACTAAGTCGCATAAATATGCTCCTATCAACAAGCCAATTCCTAGATTGTACGAACTCCAAGAATATTGGAAACCTAGCTAATTCTGTGTTGTATCAGGTTCCCATGCCTTGCGAAACGAGCATGGTCAATACAGGATGAGATATTCTAATTAAAGTTTTTTAAACATTATTACAGGTTGTGTACAACATTACTAAAACCTAGATGAGATATTCTAATTAAAGTTTCTCAAATATTCGAAGAGTAACACAAATGTAAAATTAAACTAGAACTCGGTACGTCGAGCTATGCACGCTGTGATTAAAAAAAAAATATCGTACGGAATCGTGTGCATAAATGCTTGCATACTGAAATGGAAATACTCTTCTTTTTAAGAGTATATACAAACATTAAAAGTGATTTGATAACTTACCATCTCACCCCTTTCGCAAATTAAATCCTCATAACTAATTACCACAACTTCAAAGATGCATTTTTTAATTTCATTCCATATAAACATTGCACCCATAATGTGTTTGTGGATGATGAGAGTCGTATCACTGTTTTTGAAGTATCTATTTATACCCTTAGGTGGGAGGAGTGTAGAGCATTAGACTATCATCAACCATGACTAGAAATAAGGTCAAGCTTGCATGGATAGTGAATGATAATGCTAGAAAATCTAGCTTTAAAAAGAGAAATGCATGCTTGGTGAAGAAAATGAGTGAACTAACCACCTTATGCGACATCAGTGCCTTTGTCATTGTTTATGGCGAAGACGGTGAGGAGTCAACTGTGTGGCCGGATCGCATGGTGGTGGAACAATTGATTGCAAGGTTTCAAAACATAGCAGATCTCGAGCGGTGGAAGAAAATGATGAACCAAGAGACTTACCTGAAGGACAGGGCAACCAAAATGCAAGAGCAAATCAGAAAGATTATGAAAAAGAACAATGAGCTGAACACAAGTAATGTCTTGCGCCAAATTATTCAAAACGGTAAGCCCCTGCTTGAATTTGATGATAATGTTCTAACTGGCGTGGTTTTTTCTTTAGAGGAGAGGATGAAAGAAATCCGAAAACGTATCGATTATTTTGAGCAGGCGAATCCTAATCATTCTCCAAGTACTCCTTCACAATGGGGTGGAGATCAGTCTGAAATGATAAGCCAAATTGGAAGTGATTTTCCCGAGTCTTTGTTTATGTACAAAGACCTGGGAAAGCAAATTCAAAACAATTATGGTCCTACTGTTAGTGTTAGGAGTGACATCGCGATACCACCAATCTCGCTCTTTGGTAATTTTACTATTGCAAATGACATGGGGATGCCTCTTTGGAACTTGGGAGGCAATTGTGATGGAAGTGATTTAGGGTTGCCTAAGAAAATAAGGCGTGTTGAAGGTCCTGGAAGTGGCGTTGGGGATGACATGGGGGTCCATAGTGGATTCTTCAAATATCAAAACTATGTTGGAAGTGACAACAAATATGGAAATTATAAGGAGAGTCGTCCTTTTTGGGACTGGGGAGTCGGTGGGGATGGAAGCGATAAAGGGTTGACTTCGATGAATTCTGAAGGCATGGATGGTGGAACTGGGATGGAGCTAGAGGTTTTTCCTAGTTATGCGACTAAAGTTGCAGGTATTACTAGTAATGTGGGATGTGATCTAGGGCTCGATATGACGTCTTACAATGAGGATACTGGATTTCGTATTGGGGACGACAAGGCTGGATCAAACAATGGAGTATTTGGGCATTTGCCACGTCAATTCAACATTGGAGTCCGTACGGAAAGTCATAGAGATCTGCCTTCTGCATGTTTTGGAGGTAATGGTGCTGGAAGTGATGTAAGGCTATTTCCAGGACTATTTGCCGGTAGCAACGCTGGGAGTGATGTTGGGCATCCTTACAATGTTAGCAAAAGCTGGCAGTTTCCCTTCTCTTCACCTTGAATTGCAGTGCTTTTTTACATTGTTGTTCGATATCTTCAATTATGCAGGAGTTTATCTTTAATTCATGTAATAAATGTCAAGTGGGAGGAGCTCTTTTTTTCTGTGGTCAATTGTCCTCCTTTTAGGAGGTTTTTATGCCAAGGGTTTATTTTACAGAGGTCCAAGCTTGCTCAATCTTCTTTTTCTTCCGTTGTCTCTCTTTGTAATCTGCTGCTTATTGAATGAATTTTAGAACTTCAATAGAACAAATTGATAAATCATTGTACATTGCTTGACAGTTATGGTTTAATTGTAGCAATCATCCCTAAACTTATACCTCTAGTTCAATTTTAGTCCTTGAACTCTCATATTAGTTTCTTTAGGCCTCAAAGTTAACAATGTGTTGCACCTTTGGTCATTTTCACTTACATCATATTTCCTCTATTAAATCTAGGAGTATATTAGGAGCTTCAAAAACTTAAAAAAACCAACAGAAGAAACTAAAACACAAATGAACATTTATAGATAATATTTTAAACGTAAAACAAAAAGAAATTGAACTACAAAATACAAAATAAATATAGTTGGACTTTTGCAACCTATAAATATTAGGCAATGCGATTTCAAAGTTGGTAGGAGGTCAAATTGTGGTTGGACAAAAACAATTAATAAATCAAATATTGAACTACAGAAAAAAATATTCCTATGTATTCAATTTTTTTTTACACAAAAAAACTTTGATTTTTTTTTTTTGTTCTTTTTTCTTTCTCATTTCTCATTTTGAATTCATTTTTAGTGATGTAGATGGAGTTCCTAATATATGTCACATCCCGGCCCGGGCCCCCACCACATCCCTAGCTCGACTAGGCCATAGCACGGTATCATGATATTGTCCGCTTTGGACCCCGATCACGCCCTCACGGTTTTGTTTCTGGGAACTCACACGAGAACTTCTCAATGGGTCACCTATCATGGGATTGCTCTCGCGCAAACTCGCTTAACTTCGGAGTTCCAATGGAACCTGAAGCCAGTGAGCTCCCAAAAGGCCTCGTGCTAGGTAGAGATGAGAATATACATATAAGGCTTACAGGATCCTCACCCCTGAGCGATGTGGGATCTTACAATATACCCCTAAATTTAATGGAAGAATAGGTAGCGTTAGTGAAAAGGATCAATGGTATAACGCGTTGTTAACACTACTACATTTAACAATTATCACAATGAAACACCAACCGTTGCACAAAGAAGAATTTAGTCGCCTAAAATAATGCACGACGAAACGGTATAGTACCATTTGACCTGAAATAATGAAACCTTCATAGCTAAATGGTAGCTTAAGGTGACTATAATCAACAAGATTGTTTGACTTGGAAGATTTAATGTAGTCTTGGTTTCTATTAATTCGAAGATTGCTAGCTATAACTAAACGGTGATTCAATGTTTGGACATAATATGGGTTTCTGAAACCATTATCAAGATAGTCTTGATAATATATATCTAAGGCTAGGAATCACAAGACTTGTAAGTTGTAGAGATCCATCCATCATGAATCTTAGCAAGCTAGTGGGAGCTATAAGCACCTTATGAGAGAGATCAAATCGTTTGATTCCTCATAAGATGTAAATGAATCTTTTGTTCACTAGGTTTACAAAAGATTAGTGGGAGTTAATCATATTCCTAAATTTTAACATATATATGATATATTAATTTTAGGAATTCTTCTTCGTTAAAATTATGACTTTAAACATTCTATAATGATAGAATGTATATGGGAGACATAGTCTATATACATGGGACGGAAATCTATAATGATAGATTTCAATATATAATTGGATTATATCAATCCCTAATGATAGACAAAAGAAGCTAGGAAGTTTCTCATATGATGATAAACTTCAATCAGAATGACAATTCTAGTGGGACTAGGAAGTTGCTCTTCTCAAAGGGAACGTACCATTTGACTCCCAAAGAAATAATGCGTAAATAGAATCCTTTATGCACATGCAGAAAGGTCATTTATGTATTTCATATTGTATGAAAAACATTGGTATGAGTTGTGCTAAGATCGGTATAAGACGATATTAGTGCAATCCCAGGATCAGAACCATGGCAATTGTCAAGTGCGTCCTTAAATATTTAAGAAATACTAAAGGATAGATTCCACGAGAATGAGTAGGAATTAGAGTAATGCAGTGGAAGCGTAAATGTATTAGATTATGAATCTAATATCGTATCCATCATTGGATGTCACTTCATTATGAAAGAAGAGGTAATTGGATATTTCTTTATTATGACTAAAGAGATATTTGGATGGAAATGTTAAAAGTAATGACTTTAATGTGTTCCATCTTGCAAAATGTATCGCCATATACAAGCTTACAACATTGTTGTTTGGATGGGAAAGTTCATTTATGAACTCTCCATTTTGATTCCAAACCAGAAAGTGTCTCTAATGTGCCGACACTACGACACTAATGGGGCGATAGCTCAAGCCAGGGAATCAAGGTCTCATGAAGATCCGAACTCAGATGAGAGACTTAACCACATGATTGAGAATCATGTATAATGGTGACGTTGTTATTCTCAAGGTTGCTTATGTGGATAACATATAGATGTCCATTGTGTAGGCCTACTGCTCAGCCGTTTTTGAAATAATTCAGAAGAGCTATCATCACTGATGACCAAGCTGATTGGCTCTAATGCAAATGGGAGATTGTTGGAAATGTGCCCTAAAGCCAATCATATGATGATACTTTACGAACATTGCTCATGTTAAACTAATCTAGTTTAATATAAAGGGCAAAGATTATTGTTTAAAGCCGTCTCATATAAATGTTATATGCTTAAACGATAAGTCTAAGGAATATGCAATTGGGAGAATGTGATCTAAAGAAGTTAGATTCATGGGACCATGCCCTTTCGTATACATATCCTAAACGTTCCTGATCATAAGATTGCCAATTGAGCATTGATAGTCCATTAAGATTAGTACGTGCTATGTCTTCTGTTAGGGAGAGTGACTGGTCTCGAGTCATTGGTGTGACTGACACCAAGACAAGTATGTAGGTGCTCAATGAAGAATGAGTCCATTGAATGCGATCAACAATGAGTTCTCATACTCATGTCACATGAGAACTTATGGTTGGGATAATTCAAAGTAGTCATTTGACCTGAGGCATCATAATTGTCTTGTGGTTAGGTCCTTGATCTTTGACTATGTCAAAGTGACTCCGTCAAAGGGTGTCCATGACATGGTTAGGGTTAAGCCAGTTAGCCATGGAGGCAAGTGAATGTGCAACAAGAGTATCTGGCCAGAGTATGAATGAGATTTAGGAAGTCATTCCAAATCACATTCAAGGTAATCATATAAGTAAATGAATCACATTGGATAGTAGATATGAATAAACTATCAAACCAAACAATGTGGTCAAGAGTATTGTATTAGAGAAAGACCGTATTGCATTGGAATCCTAAACTGAATAGGTTCTTCACCTCTGCTAGGTGTCACTCATGGTTTGTGGAAGCCCTAAAGGTGTATAATCACTAAAGGGAGAATTGAAAGTAAGTTTCAATTCACAATCGATTTGAAGAGTTCTAATCGCCCACTGTCTCGCTAAAAGGAACCTAATGGATCGCACACCGTGTAAGGTAATGATTGAAGGATATAACGAAGATGAGTAAGGACAATTAAATAGTTTAATTGTATATGGCAAGGATTAATTAAAAGTTAATTAATCTAGAACAAAAGGTTCGTTTTAGGCCTTAAGTTAATTTTGGGTTTCGGGACGCAAAAGGGTTTTGGTCCACAAGGCACATAAGGTTTAAGTTGTGCGACAACTAAAACAAAATGGGCAATTAACCCACTAAAAATAGGGAGGCCGGCCATGCTTAGAGAGGGAGTGGGGTTTGGACTTATTACAAGTTTGCCACTCCATTGAAGGTAGGTATAAGTGTGACTTTATAGCGTTTTCTTCATTAGGGTTTTCTTGAGGAAAATGGAGAGAACAAAAGCTCTCCTTTTTCTCTCTAGGAGGCCGGCCACCGTGGGGGAATTTACTAGTATCTAATTCTTCCATGGTCACTCATCTTCTTCCTTAGCCATCCTTGGTGTCGAAACTTAGAGGTCTCCAACTTTGGGGACTTTTGGAGAACCCAATTCTTCCATCCATATCCAAGAAGACATGGAGCCAAGAAGAAAAGTTACTCCATCCAAATCCATGGAGCCAAGGAGCAATGTGACAAAAGAAAGAAGGCCCTCACATGGGTGATTAACCTTTGCTAAGCAAAGAGGTGCTTCAAAGGTATAAGTTTCTCAACTCATTTTGTTTTGAGTTGAGTCTTGGTTCACCATAACTACTAGGCTTTGAATTTCATGGGTTAAGTTTTGTTTTTGAGTGCATACAAGCATGATTCCGCCTTTTAATTGTTAATAGCATGCATAGATGTTGCTCAAATGAACTTGTTTTCACAAATATTTCCTTCAAGATCTACGTGGCACAAGGCCAGAGTGACGAAATGATACTTCGTTGCATAAAGTTTAGAGGGATGAAGTTTTCTTATAACAATATTTGTAACCACGAAGTCCTGTCATTGTGCTAAATTATTGGGGACGAAAAGAATTGTTGGAGCATAAGTAAGTACATTAGAACGGATAAGGATTATACCCTCAAAAGTAGCCTTCTATCCTGAGATTGCCAAGAATCCTTATCGATACGAACATTCAGCAATTAAAACCTGGAGGGTGCAAAACAGAAGATGTGAGTGGGTAAGAAACCATAATTATCTTTGTAATAACACTTCTTTGTAAAACCGTATAACCTCTAAGAATTCACCATGTATAAGTATGATATCAAATGTACGCTAACATTAAATCTAGAAGTATACCACAATACAGCAGCTCAATGCCAATATAAATGATCATGTGTTTAATAATCCATACTAGTACATAAGTCAAAGTCACCTATGGTGACCTATATGACTACAACCATATCTCATCAATCAATGCTAACTCATAAGTTTGA